ATAAGAAGAAATAAAAAAGGAAAATCAACATATAAACTAAATTCAAATAAAACCCATGCGCATTCTCAACCTCAGGCAGTACTTTAGTAGGCTATTTAATAGTATTTATATAATCTTTTCTTCTTCTTTTTGCTTTTTCTTCTTTTTTTTTTGCTAAACAAGTTCTTTTTTCCGCTATAAAGTTAAACAACCTTTTACTGTTAGCATAATCCGCTGTGGGTATTTTATTTACTTTTACTTTTGACTATATATTACCATTTGACAGGTGTTTGTATATATATAAGAAGGATATTTATATCCACTTCTACTGGAATTCGCTTTTTGCCCGAAGCATAACTGGCGCCGTTGAATTAGCACAAAATGAAAAAATATATTTGTAAATATTTATGTAGTAGTGTGTAATATTTGTTTTTTTTTTTTGCCTTGGTATGTGTTTGTGGGCAGAAGATTTCGATGCCGCTTACAGAATTCCCATTGACTATATTTCGCCTCATCGCAGCTCTGTCGTCATGTTTTTGAGTGCATATGACTAAGCCTTGCGAATTCGGATGGGAAGTGTGTAGTAAGGTGAGAAGCACAATCTTGATATTCCGTTCTCGCTGTTGATGAAGTTTTTTTACACGCGGCTGGACTGTGTAGAATGAAAATGAGTGAAATTTTTGAGGAAGTACGTTATGTGAAGCTCTTTAGCATGAAGAAGCTAAAAGCGGTGCAAAAATGTTTGTGGCTTACCGCGTGGGTAAGAGTATTTTGCACTCTTCCGTTCCAGAAATTTCGCTGGCAAAAAAGCACTTTATTCTGATCGACTAGCCAGTGGAGCAAGCTTTTATGAGACAGAAGAGGCATTAAGCATTACTCACGTAACAGTTTGGAATCGTCTAAAAAAACAGTTGACTATTGCATGAAGCTTGAAGGACTTGAAAAAAATCGAATAATTTCAAAAGTACTTTGCTACGAATGATGAAAACTGGTTTTTAACAAGAGCATATATAAGGTTATTTCTCTTATAATCAAAGACCGGTGGCCCTGTACTTTATGAGTTTCTACAAACTGGCGAAAGATAAGATTCTAAGTTCTAGTGTCATCAAATAACCGATTTACCATAAGCTCTCTAATAAAAAGAAGCGCCAAAAATTGATTGTGTTTCATTATGAAATTAATCATTTATGGCAAACACAGCAGAAGTAATCCATCGGGCCAGGGTTAGGCTCGACTCCAGCGCTGATGAGAAGAATTTGGAGCAACCCAGCTGCAAGGTCTTACATCGTTGATTGCACTTAGATTAATGTTACATAAATGAAGTTAGGTCGAGGAAATGGTGACGGCTCTTCTATAAATCATTTGCGATTTGTAGCCGCCGAAGCGATTTTCGGCCGAGCTCCTCTTCTGATTTTTGGTATGCGTCTTGATGCTTTCGCAACAAAATCCGAGTCAATTCCGCTGTGTAATACCGGCTTTCGTAAGGACAATGACATTGTCATGTCATATAGCTGACATTGTCATCAGTGACAATATCATATACAAGTGTATTCTTATTAAAGACCTTGAGCATACACTGTCTTCTAGTGGTCAGTTGTCAGCAGTCGCAGGCGCATGAATGTCGGGCATATACACTTTTATGACGCACTGTACACCAAAATTTAGTAGTTAAAGGAAGACGTTTTCCATTACTCCCACTTCAAAGCAATACCACAAGTAAACACACATACTCGTACATATTAATGCCTTTGGGCGTAGGAATCCCAATGAATTTATGACACCATCCCAGATTATATTTGTCATCGATTGAAGGGGCTCGTGCATTAAGTAAGACCTTCGCTGAAGGCTTCTTGACTTGGGTGGGGTTTTTATTTGTATTTGCTTTGGAGCTATGCACATATATCTACACACTCCTTAACATAAACATTCTTCTTCTTCGACTTATCAATGGAATAGTTGTGCAGCCCATGCGTCGGTTCGTTGGCGCCTGGTAAATAATTTTACGACATTTTATCAGGACAAAGGACAAAGTGGCGAGCAAAACAAAATATTTGCTTAGTTTTTTCATTAGTTTTTTTTTTTTTTAATTTTTTCTGCTTGTGTGGTTAAAAATTCATATGTGATATGCGAACGTATGTATTTATACAGTTTTGTATATCTATATATTTTTTAATAGTTTTGTTATTTTGATTACATATTTTTTTTGCGCTTTCCATGAATTCACTAAAGTTAATGCTTCCTTGCGCTGCACCAAAACTGACTCATTTTTTGCAAAATAATACAGCGAATACAGCGAGAGCAAAAATACATAAATGGTTTTATAAACATATACACATACACATATTTATGTTCTTTTATTATGATAGTTTGCGCAAATTTGTTGTTGACTTATGAGTATGTATGTATGAGTTTGTTATAGAAATATTTTTATGCTTTTTGCACAACTATTTAATATTTTCATTCACAATAAATGCATACAAACATACATACATACATATAGTACATATATATATATGTATATATATAAACATATTGTTGGAAATGCTTTTCATTTATTTTTCGCCTATTTCTTGTTTGCATCTTCACCTCATGCGCCTGTTTATATGCTTTAGTTTAGTAAGAGCGGAATTGAATCAAAAAGTTTCTATGTAGTAGTAGTAGTTACAGTTGTAGTGCTGCTGCTGCTGTGTAGTTTTTCACTTTTGGGTCGTCATTGTCAGTCAAGCATGTTGAAAGTTATTGCTTTTTCTTTTCAATTTATTGCATTGTTTAGCAATTTTGAAGCCTCATTTTAAAATTTATTGTTTTTGTTTTTGTGTTTCTCTTTTCTTTTCTGCACTCAAAACTAATTTTAAAAAAATTTTGGCACATTCTTTCATTTTTTTTTGTGTGCACTAAAAGAAACGATGTAGTCGCATAATTTGTTATGAATTTATTTCATTAGTCATTTTTTCGTAGGAAAAGTGAAGTCTCCAAAAAGCTAGTGAAAATTCATTCCACATTTTGTTATAATATTTTTATATTTTCGGAGACGTTTAAAATTTTATATACTTAAACATAAAGTTATTTGAAAATTAAAAAATTTTTTTTTTTCATTATTTTATCATTCACAAGACACTCATGCATACATATTCAGATTCTACATTATATAAGTGCATTTATTTCTGTTATTGTGATGAATTCTGCTCTTCTTCTTTTTATATTATTATTACTTCATGCTTAAATAACCCCTACAATTTAATTTCATAGATAATAACTTGTTTTATATTTTACACTAAATGCTAAATGCAAGCGATTTTCGTAAGTTTTTGTAATAATTAAAAAAAAAAAAGAATAATTTTATTGCAGCGATTTTTGGCCAGGCTCTTTTTACAGTTTGATGTTTTAACAACAAATGGAGGGACCTACAGTCTATTCCTTAGTCGTCTCCGCGCGGACGATAGATTTTTATGAGTAGCTTTATTTTATATCACAAATACACTCGAATAGTTTGAAATTCCCTGTCGAGGTGGACCGCTATTTGGAAAATTAATATTCCATAATTTTTAATGTTGGCAGAACCTAGCTTTCTGAGTGCTAATATACGCCGCTAACCACTCGCTTATTGATGCCGCCAAAAAATAAAATAACCCATTGATCGTTCACTAAGAAAGTTCGTTTGATGACAACAGCTGATCGATCTTATTGAAATTTTTCGCAACCAACTTCACACTCAATCGCTTCATTGTATATTTGAGCAAATGATATAGTACGCAATGTGCTGACCGAACGCCAGTGTCAAAATTTATCGAAATATCGATCTTGAGGATGCATCACGTCCTGGAAGGCCTCTTGAAGCTGATAAGGATAAAAAGAAGACGTTCGTTGATTAAAATCGTGAATAACGACTCAAGAGATTGCTAAATGAAAATTAAATTAAATTCGTCCAACTTGACCGTTCACAAACACACGAAACGTCTAGGAACTTCGTATTCTTCAAGAACAAAATTTGATTCGCCGCATTTCGTTACTAGCGACGGAAAATGGGTTGTTTACAACAATGTAAACCAGTTAAAACTATTTAGAACGCCGATATTCATAATAAAAAGTCATCTTGGCTACTTGTTGAGATTTCAACTGGATGGTTTATTATGAGCTTTCGCCTGACAGCACCCTGATTAATTTTGCGCTGTGTTCTGATCAGCTGGACAAGTTGCATAAGAGGCCAGAATAGATCAATAGAAAAGGTGTAATGCTCCACCAGGATTTTGCGAATCCGCAAACAAGCTTTTGAAGCTTGAATGGGATATTTTACCCCCCTCGGCACCCTCGGCTTTTGGCTTGCTCCGGTCTTTGCAAAATCTACTTGTACCACATTTTGCCAGCAATGATTAGACAATTTATGAGTCATGAAATCTTGGTCGAAAGATCGCAAAAGGTATTGGATCAAAATATAGACTACATAATATAAAAGAATATTTTACATAATAAAAAATCGCATTTAAAATGCGTATATATATGTACATACGAAATTACTTAGAGAACGACCCAATAAAATAAAAATAAAATAAAATTAAAATATATTAAATTAAATAAAAAAAATTTATTTTTAATTAAAATATTTTAAATTAAATTAAATTCAATTATTATTATTATATAATATTTATACATAATAAGAAAGATAAAATAAAATAAATTTAAATTAAATAATATAAAATGATTTAAAATCTAAATATTAAAATATATATAATAAGTTAAATTAGAAAAAAATTATAATGCAAAACAAGGAAATATAAACAAAGTAAAGCAAAATAAACTTTTAAAATTATAAAAGTGTGTTTTAATAAATATTTAATATACACGTACTTTGAGTGGATTATCGCTGGGGATAACAGCAGATTTGGTAAAGCATCGACACCGCTTTGATTACCTATGTATATTGGTCTACAGCTTGTCTGAGTAAAAATCGCTTACATTTAACATTTAGCAATTAGTTTTATATTTTTTTGAAAATTGTTTTCTTTGCGCTTGCATGTCTATAGTATTTATTTCAGAGAACGGGACAAAATCGGTAAGCCACTACTGAATACGAAGATGCCATCTGCGCCGACACACACGGCCGAGGAGGCTCGTCTGTTGGGGTAAGCGCGTTGAAAATTTACGTCTAATAATAAATAAATAATAAATGAAACAATAACAACAATTGCATTTAGAAAACAGCAAAATCGACTACATTTAAATCAATGTAGTATATATATAGAAAGAAAAGTTTAATAAAAAAAAATACCATTCATAAAAAAGAAGAATAAGAATGATATAAAAAATTATAGTAAATATTAATTTTGTTTAGCAGTGAAAATATGTACGTGCTAATAACCCGACAAAAATGTGTATATTTTTTATGGATTTTTAAAAATTTAATATATATCTTTTAAATATATTTCTTATGGCTTGATTTTAGTATATTTTCAGCTTTTAGCGATTTTAGTATTTAACGCTTAGTTGATATTATTTTTATATATATTTAATTAATTTGAATAATATTTCAATATTAGCCTCGAAACACGTAGTGTTTTAGCAAACTTATAATAGATTTTACGAGAAAAATATTAAATTGATGTAACCATGTAAATTATGAAAATAGAAGTTCCACCGCTGCTACCACTAGAAATGAATTTAAATCAAATTCATAAGCATTCAAGCCTAGGAATGTTACCCAGTATACACTTGCCTGATCTAATTTGAATGTGTACTAAAAATTGTATGAAAAACCAACACAGCTTCGGCTAATATCTAACCCTTTGGAATGCAGTAGAAGTATGCGCATAAAACACCAGGAAACTCCTGCCAGCTTGTGAAATTCAACACAGCTACAAAAAAAAAAAACAAAAAAAAAATTAAAATCAAATACAAAGCCACACCCAAAAGCTCAAATCAATTCTTTTTTAATCAGTATTCCATTTGGATTGTCATAAATTCCACGCTCTCACATAGAAATCAATACCAAATAATATCCACTTAGCAATTGAAACTATATACACACATACACATTATATAATGCCCAACAGTCGGTTAGCTATGTAATGCATATAAGTTTAGGCTATGTATTTATTATATAATATATATGTATATACATATATAAAATTTATTTCTATAAGTAATTTTTACCCTCTCACCCCTTTAGCACCATGCCCATCGATCCCATGGACGACATTGAATTGCGCTCCGTGCAGTTGCAATTCCCAAATGCACGTGGCTCTATTTTGGAGGCATGCGAACAGCGTCGTGTGCCCACGGACAAGGGTGATGTACACGTGGCCATACAAGGTGACAACACAAAACCAGCTATTTTGACGTATCACGATCTGGGTTTGAATTGTGAGTATGAATGAGCTTACATTTTTTGGGTTTTCTTTGTAAAGTAAGGTAAGAAGTGAGAGAAATACTTGAAATTGTAATTTTTTTAATTATGCGCTACTTATTTGGTATTTTTTTTTCATTTTTTTTACAAAAACTGTTCTAATGATGATTGAAATAAAAAAGTATTCTTTATAATAATTTTTACTTGAATTCATAACAATTTCAGATGTTACAAGCTTTGCTGGCTTCTTCAACTTCCCACCAATGCGTGGTCTGCTCGAGAATTTTTGCGTCTATCATGTTACGGCACCTGGACAAGAGGAAGGCGCACCAACATTGCCCGAAGAGTAAATATAATAATTTCATGGTGGCTGACAAGTAAAACTCATAATAAATAAACTCAAATAAAATAAAATGAAATAAGAAAATAAAATAAAATGAAATAAGAAAATAAAATAAAATGAAATAAAAAAATAAAATAAAATAAAATAAAATAAAATAAAATAAAATAAAATAAAATAAAATAAAATAAAATAAAATGAAAAATGAAATATAATATAATGAAATAAAATAAAATAAAAAATGGAATATAATATAATATAATATAATAAAATAATATAAAATAAAGTTAATTAAGATAATATCAAATAAATTAAAGTAAATTGAAGGAATATAAAATAATATAGAATAAAGTAAGCTTAATCAAACTTGTAAGAATAGTTTAAAAAAAGGGCAAAATGAAAAGTTATCAAAATATTATATATTAAAATAAAATAAATTAAAAAATGACTGACAACATTTTCTGGAGAAAATTTTATATGAGTATTACTTGTTAGCCGTGGATTAATTAAGTCAAGTTCAACAGAGACACTTCTTTATAATTGTTTATTTTAAAATTAATTTTTCGCATTCATGTATCGATTACTCCTCCCACAGCTATATCTATCCAACCATGGATGAGCTGGCCGCTCAACTTGTTTATGTGATGTCACATTTTGGTCTTAAATCCGTGATTGGTTTCGGTGTTGGCGCAGGCGCTAATATACTGGCACGTTTTGCGCACTCTAATCCGGATAAAGTCGGCGCTTTGGTGCTCATCAATTGTGTGTCAACACAATCCGGCTGGATCGAGTGGGGCTATCAGAGTTTTAATGCACGTTTTCTGCGTACTAAAGGCATGACTCAAAGTGTTATTGACTATTTGATGTGGCATCATTTCGGACGTAATCCTGAAGAGCGCAATCACGATTTGGTGCAGATGTATAAGCAACACTTTGAACGTGGCGTTAATCCCACTAATTTGGCTATGTTCATCAATTCGTATATACATCGTAATGATTTGAATATTACACGTACACCACCAGGCACTCCCGGTACCCAACCATCATTGTGTACATTGAAAATGCCAGTTATAAATATTACTGGCGCATTGTCGCCACATGTTGATGATACGGTTACCTTTAATGGGCGCTTGGATCCAACAAATTCATCTTGGATGAAGGTTTGCTCAACGAATAGCTCAATGCATTGAAACTAGATTTATGTTATTATGAAATTCATACTGATTTCTTTTTTTGTTTTTTTATTGGTTTACAGATTTCCGATTGCGCCATGGTATTGGAAGAGCAACCAGCGAAATTGGCTGAAGCTTTTAGGCTTTTCCTACAGGGCGAGGGCTACGGTAAGTGTTAAGCTATGGCGTAGCTAAACTAAAAATTAGCAATAATTTATAAACGCGAATATATATACAATCACCTCCACCTCCACCACTACCACTACCGAAACCACGACAACCAATACATTTGTAATATACAATCTTATACTATATATACTGGTTATATACTAGTTACCATTAGCCATTCGTAGTTTATTATAAATAAACAAACATTTTTCGAAATTATCGCATTTGACATAGAGAATGGAATATAAATATTAAAAAAAAGTTATATCAATTCAAAAACGGCTATAGATAACAGGCAACTGCGTTTTAGTTCTTAGAAAAATATTTTTTTAATAAAAATTTGATTAAAACACGCACAGATTACAAAATTAAAAAATCATAATTTTCAAGTTATATATATTTTATAAAAAATTTAAAATTAAATGAGGATGGATCTAAAAAGTATTTAGAATTATATGGAGGTTGATATGATATTTGATAACCTAAGCCAATATGTTTGTTGCTTCAATAGGGTACGTGGCATATTTTTTTATTATTAGGCTGTTCTCAAAGGATTTCCAGCTATAGTCGGAAGGGTAGAAGTAACAAAAAAACATTTTTTTTTTAAATTATTCTAGATATGCTTTGCATTAAAATAGCATATTTACATGAAAATTATGCCTTCAGCTATGCGGATACGGCTTAAAAGGGTGGCTCCTCCAGTGTTCACTTTTCACTATTTATTATCCAGGCTGTAAAGGGTAAAACTAGGCAGTTAAATCTCTTAAATTATTTGATGAGTTTATTTAAAATGTAACATCAATACTTCAAGAAGCTAACAAACAAAAGATGTGTCTTTTTTGGTAATTTTCCTTACCCAGGAATCAAAGTGATATACTTTTCTTCAAGTTGACTCATGTATCAATGCAAACAAATCAAAAAATTAGAACCTATTTATAGTTTTTGTGTATGTAGAGCCTTAAAAAAATGCAATGAGAAGACTTTTGAGTTTTTTTTATAATTATTTCTTATAACAAACGTCTCAGATTTCCTTCAACTTGTAATTACTGGTCACCTCATTGAGTTCTTCATCCTTTGTATGAATAAACAACATATAGGAGCTATAGGAATTTCTAAAAAAATTAGATTTTAGACAAACGTTCGAAAAATTACTTTAAAAAATGGTATGAACGCATAATGCTATATATTTTATGCTTTTCAAGGAAGGCAGCTTGTATTCGGCTTAAGAGCTTTAGTGAAATTAAAAAAAAAATTAAATAAAAATAAATAAAAAAGTTTTGCATAGCGACATGTGTTTTCAACTAAGATTACTGAAATGAAAATTATAAAAATTCAAAATTATACTCGATTAAAGAGGAAAGTGCTTTTGACAAACACAAGCATACAAGTTTACTTTTTAATACACATCAACAGTATAAAACCAGAGTATTTAAAAATTTTGGCAATTGGAATATTTTCTTTCTTCAAAATCAATACTAAATTTCCAAAAAACAAACAGATTTGAGAGCTTTATATACATACTTACACATCTTAAAAACATAATATTTCATTTATGCAAACATTTCAGCAATAAATTATAAACTTCACTATACAAAATATTTAACAAACACAAAGAAATATGATATATACTTACAAACATACATAGAAACAATATAAAAAAGTTCATGCATTTCACAAACTTCTACTATATTATCGCTATTACATACATCATATATTCCTACATACATATTTAAAATTCAAATCAATTTGTATGTATGCATAAACGTACAGAATTATAAAAGATTAATTATATATAATAAATAATATTATATGTATTTATATACAACCACTGAAAATTGGCTATGACTTACAAAAACAAAAAAAAAAACAAAAAAAAAAAAAGAAAGACAACCAAATACAAATCGCGTTCAATGAAGAATATATAATAATGCATAGTTTAATTTGTACTGAAAATAGTTAATAATTGAAAATTTGTTAAAATTTAATAACTAATATTTTTGACGAGTATTGGAATGTTGTGAACTTAATTGGATTTATTCAAAAATAAAAATATATAAATAAAATAAAAATGTTGTTTAAAAATAAAAATATATCTTAATGAAATTCTTTAATTCAACTTCTTTGATTAGCTTATTACATACATACGCGTATTAGTTACACGTTCATTATTCATATTATACAACATGCATGCAACATCCGGTAGATATCAAGGAAGGGGGTAGGGTCTGCCAAATGAGGGTTAAAATAATTGGCGTAAAGGCATGCTAAAAATTTTCTGAGCAGCTAGTAGACGATGAGGTACAATTATAAATACAAAAAAAAAAAAAATATTTGTATTTTTTTTTCAATTTTTCTTTTGTCAAAAGAAATACACTTCATTTCTTTACCTTAAGTCTGACTAAATTAAGTATTATATAGGTATAGGGTTATCCATTTCGTGGTTTTAAAAATACAGAGCTGTATTTTGACAACTGTCAAACTGAACTGCAAAACCGAACATGTTTTGTTTTAGTTGAAAAACAGGCATTTATGAAAATAGACCACTATAAAATTGCACAACGCGTTAAAATTATTAAATCCTTCAAGAAAAATGGTGATTCAAACGTAAGGTGGCCACGCAAGGTGATTTTAAAAGAGTCTGTGGTGCACATAATCGTTCAACTACTCAGGGAATTTGGTGAAATTCGATTGGGTGCTTTGAAAACTAACAGTGGAAGGCGATTTTTGGAAAAAAAATTCTGCAGCCACTCGGTACGAAAAGTGCCACTCGAGGAATATGAACAATTATAACGAAAAGAGAACTCTCTTTAGGCACTCCTCGATACGGAGGTGTGAGTGGACCTCAGTTCTTTGAAAACGAAAACGTCGAGAATGTCACTGTCAATTCGGTATGGTCGTATGAAAACTGACTTTTCCTTTGGCCTGCAATTGAAGAGCACGACTTGAACAATGTGGGATACGGGATGATGCCACATAACACGAGTGAATATGGCTTTATTTAGGAGGAATTTCCAGGCTGCATAAAGCCTCATCATGCGATTTGACACCGTTGAACTTATTTTGTTGGGCTTTGCAAAAGACCGTGTTTATGTGGATTAATCTTTAACTCTTGAGCACTTGAAAACTAATATTCGTCGAGCTGTGACTGCGATACCGCCCAAATATGTGCCAAAATGTGGTCAAAAATTACCTGAAACGTATTGAAGGTTGCAAAAATTCGCGAGGCGGTCATTTGAATAATGTAATGTTTTAAATGTTATATAATGCCAACGTGTATATTTGAAACCACAAAATGGACAACATTCTACTTTTGTTTATTTTAAAAAGTAATAACTTTATAAGGTGTTGGTGGAATTCTGAAAACCAACAAATTCATATTTCGAAAAGCTTTTTTAAAAAATGTTTAGGTTCCCTTTTAAATTTAAATTCGATATTGAACTCCAAATGGACTATTTTTTCCAAAAATCCGTTTCTAATGCGATTTTTACTTTTCATATTTTTTTTTGCTTTTCCTCAAAACAATTCACAGACATATATCTGAAATTGAAAATAGTATTTAAAGATGCCGCACAGCATTATAAATCATATCATCTCATCACCATAATTCAATAACAATAAAAATATATCGAAAATATGCCTTTTGCTATAAACAAAACTACAAAATTCCCCTTACACACACCGCTCTTGCATTTAAAAAAAAAAAGAAGAAAACAATACCAACGCTGTTAAGTAATCGAAATTTAATTTGGTCATACAAATATTTTCTTTTCTTTTTTCTCTCTTTTTAATATCTCCTTATCAAATGTTTATATAAATACCAAAAACAAATAAATACCAATCCACATACAATAAACTAAAAAAAAAATCACGCTTGCAAAATTAAATAAAATAAAAATACTTCCATATTCATTCAACATACATACAAACAACACTCACACATGCCAACACAATCCCAATTTCAAACGATTTGTGTGTGAAATTGAAAATGTTGACATGTCGATACCGTTTCATGGTTGCTGTGGGAAATTGAATAAATGTGAAAATCTCTCTACATAAAATAATACCAAATAAATAATAAATTTTTAAACATTAATAACTTTATTTTTATTTTTATAAAAACACAACTTTTGTTTACTTTTACTTAACTTATGCTGTGCGCATTTGAAAATGTAATACACAAAATGCGCGCTTAAAACAACCAAAAAATTGCAAAATCTGCAAAAATATAACATTTGCAACAACTTTATTTACATTTGTGGTATGTATGTATATTTTATAAAAATTTTGCTTTTTGGCTAAAAAACCGCCCTCCCCGCAACAATAAACCTGCTTAAATAATGCTCCTTCAAAAATATCCCACCGAATATGCGTTCCCCATGATAAATGCTTCGCTACCCACTGTCTCTTCTCTACCGTCGCTAAAATAAAAGTAGAAAAGTCGCAATAAAGCGTGAAAATTTTAAATTGGAATTAAAAGTCTAATATCACTGCTTGTTGTAATTTAGTAACATTTATGTATGTGTATCTATATGTGCAGACCCAACGCCTGGGGTGTGTGGGTGTATCCACGCGTAGTTATGAAGGCCACCTGAAAAGCTGCCAACCAAAACAGAAATGCAGTTAAACAGTACACGAACTTCGAAATTTTGTATTCTTTTTCATCTTAAATAATTGGTGTAGTTGTAGTGTTCAAAAACAGTTATTTTTAAGCCAAGAAACAAGAAAAAATTGAAATATAATAAAATAAAATAAAATATATTAAAATAATATTAAATAAAATTAACAAATATTAAATAAAACAAAGTAAAATACTATAAAAAACAAAAAAAAAAAAAAATGAAAGGTATTTGACTAAAAAATAAGAAAATTTAAAATACAAATATTAAGTAAAAGATTAAAATAGATTATTAATTCAAATAAATACAAAAATATTTAAAGAAATAATATAGAAAAAATAGAAAATAAAGTAATATATTAAAATAATATAAAATGAAATAAAA